ATTCTAATGCCCATAAAAAAAGTCAACTTTTGATTTATCAATCATCTGTGAGTGTGATCAGAAAAAAGCCCTAGAAAGCAGTTTCATTTTGGCCTTAACTAAATACACAACTAATGCTGAAATAAATAATGAGTGTTAATAAATCTCACAAAACTAAAATTCCAGAGGGAAGTATTTGGTTCATCATGGCTCAACAATTTCCAAAGTCCGAATCAGTTCTGCTAAGAGCTAGGGATAAAATGGTGACCAGTACAGAAAGAGCCTTACCCTCATGAAGTCCAGTGAAGGAGAAAGACATCAAACACCCAAACAAAGAAATAAAATAACAATTAAAATAATCCTCATTCATTAATTTCTTGTTTGCAAATTCTTCTACTCACTAAAATATAAGGTCAAAACTGATACTTGGGGGCATGTTTTAGAGGCTACTTTAATTAATTAATTAATTAATTTGGCTGTGCCCCGAAGCATGTGGGTTCTTAGTTCCCTGACCAGGGATCGAACCTGTGCAATTAATTAGTTAATTAATTAATTTGGCTGTGCCCCAAGGCATGTGGGTTCTTAGTTCCCTGACCAGGGATCGAACCTGTGCCCCTGCATTGCAAGTGTGTAGTCTTAACCACGGGACTGCTATGGAAAGTCCCCTTGCTGCAGTTTTGAGGTCACTTGTGGACATGTTCATGTGTAGAATGGTGAAAAACTGGAGTTGCCCAACATGCATGTTCCCAGCTGTGGTCAATTGAGCACTCACACTGTAAACAAGAGTCCTCTTGCCAGGATTCTGTGCCACATTTTTTACATTTTTGTGCTTTTGTTGGTGATTTTTGGTTTTAGATGTCCTGTAAGCATAGTGCTGAGGTGCTGTCCTGTGTTCCTAAGAAGGCCGGGTTGTGCCTGATGGAGAAAAGATATATGTTAGATCAGTTTCACTGCAGCTTGAGTTATAGTGTTGTTGTTGGCTGTGAGTTCAACGTGAATGAACTAATGATCTATATGAAATGAGGTGTCTTTAAACAGAAATACGCATAAAACAAGGTTATGTATTGATGGCGTGATGACAGTGTGGTGACCAGAGGCTGGAGGAACCTAACCCTGTGCTTCCCCTGGGAGCGATAGTTCTGGGTTCACTCATTTGGCGTCCAAAGCAACTTTATTGAACAAAACTACTGTGCATCATGGGAATGGACTGTTTTGTCAGGATAAGCAAGAGAAGGGGAGCTACAGAGGTGCTGAGAAAGAGTGAATGATGTGTGTGTGTCTATTCTCGATAGAGAGGCTTCTTGAGTGAGGCCTCTGACAGCTGAGCTGAGACCCAAAGGGGGAGAAGAAGCTGCCGAGCAGGTGGAGAACATTCCGAGCAGAGGGACCAGCGGCGTCTGGAGATGGGAAGGCCTTGGCCTGTGTGGGCACCTGATGGATGATGTGGGTGATGGAGAAGCGGCCAAGAACCAGCTCCAAAGGAGCTTTGGGGCCTGGCTAAGAAGTTTGGGTTTTATTCTAAAGGCCTGTAGTAAACCATGTAAGCTGCAGAATTCAATCAACAAAGAGGTACTAAAACATGGACTGTGGGCTTGCACCCCTCCCAGCAGGGCTCCGGTGCCCACACAGGCCAGGGCTTTTCCATCTCCAGACCCACCGGTCCCTCTGCTGCAAGCACTTCAGCTCTATGCTTGCAGGGCGTCTTAAAACCAAAACCACCCATGAAAGCACAAAAACGTAAGAAGCGCGGCACAGAGTAAGATGGCAAGAAGGACTCTTGTTTACGGTGTGAGAGCTGAATTGACCTCATTTGGGAACTTGCATGTTGGGCAACTCCAATCNCCTCTGCTGCAAGCACTTCAGCTCTATGCTTGCAGGGCGTCTTAAAACCAAAGCCACCCATGAAAGCACAAAAACGTAAGAAGCGCGGCACAGAGTAAGATGGCAAGAAGGACTCTTGTTTACGGTGTGAGAGCTGAATTGACCTCATTTGGGAACTTGCATGTTGGGCAACTCCAATCTTCCACCACTCTACACTGCACGTGTCCACAAGTGACCTCAAGATTGCAGCAAGGGGACTTTCCCTAGTGGTCCGGTGGTTTAAGACTCCACACTTTCAATGCAGGGGGCGCAGGTTCAATCCCTGGTCAGGGAACTAAGATCCCAGTGGAAGCTGCAACATGTAGAGTCCAGGTGGAGTCAAGTAATTTTTCCCCTCACCTGCCTGGGTCCTCCTTTATTCTTATCAAGAGATGTGAGAGGGTGCAGGTGGTCCCTTATTCACCTCTGTCTTTCCCAGGCCAAGGACAGCGCTGGGATTCACTACTCTGGGCACAGACCAGGGGCCACCATAAGCCCACAGAATACGTTTCAGTACATGTTTGCTGGCTGAATTCTGCAGCTGTGTAGAAACCATGGCGAGGACTTTTCTTAGAACCTGGACAAATTTGGCTTTTAGTGCTCTGCCTCCCAGGCTGACTGACAGGCCAGTGGTGGGGGAGCTGAGCTCCCAGCTCCAGCAAAGGCAGACCCGCCATCCCCTTCTCCCCATCCCCAGGCAGGAGCTGGCAGGAGATCAGATGCTGCTTCAGTTCCAAGGAGCTCATGAACAAAGGCTGTAAAAGTTGCTAAGAAACCTGCTTTTTCTGAGGGCTCACCGTGTTCCTTTGTTTCTGTGGCGTTCTGTTGTGAGAGTGGGTGTGAAGTGTGCCCAGGGCTGTCACTATGCCAGCCCCAAACCAAGTCAGACTTGAAGGCAAAGAGCTGCAGACTGCCCTGAGCACCATCCGGGAAGCCAGGTATGCTAAGCCTGGAACAAAAGAGGAGGCAGCTGCCTGAGGCCAGAGATTGGCAGAACTGTGAGCAGCTGCAGGAAGCCAGCTCTGGATGCCGACTCCTGGACCCACTCCACCAGAAGCCCAGAAACCTGAGGGTGGGAGGCACCAATAAGAGAATCGGGAGGGGACCCCACTTCCTAGGCGAACTTGGAAAATAAATCCCTAACAAGATCTGGGCCATTTCAAAATATGAGAGGCAAGATCTAGAGGACTAGAAGGTTCCAGGCTGACCTTTATTTAACTTGCTCCCCTTCTTCTCATGGCTGTAAGGAAAACCTGAGGCCCAGGGAGGAGAAAGGACTTGCTGAGGGACACACAGACAGGAGAACTCATTCTAGGGTCTGTGGGCTTTGAGTGTTAATTTGAGACTAGACCATTCATCCATTCATCCATTTGTCAAGTACTTACTGAACCCTTACTAAGTGCCAGGCTCCAAAGCCCCAACCCCAATCACACAAGGAGAAAAAAAAAAAGGATGCCAACCTTTGAGCAAATTGCCACCTTCTCTGAATCTGTTTCCCAGTAAGCATGCAACAACACGAAGGGGCTCCCACTGTGTGTGTGGCTACGTGCTCTGCTTACCTTGGATTCTCTGCTCGCGTGTAGTGCTGGGAAGACAGGAGCTGAAATGGATGAGGCACGTGCGGGCCAGCTGCCCTAGATTTGTCACTCTGCAGGCTCCAGGTCCTAGTACGTGCCCACCACCTTGAGCAACTCATTCCTGGCTCTAGACTTCAGTTCAAGGGCACAGTTTATGCTCTCTCTGCCTCAAACCTTTAATGGTTCCTGCTGGCTTTGAATTAAAGACCAGAGACCCTGTAACATGGCCCACAGGGCCCCAGAGGGTCTGGCTTGGTTCGCCTCCCTCCTCTCTCCCCCACTCTGCTCCAGCCTCACAGACCTTCATACCTATCACGATCCTGCACAGGGTGTTTGGCCAGGTTGCCCCTCCCCTTGGATTTTTTTTTCTTTTTGAAAAAAAAAAAAGTGAAGTGAGAGTGTTAGTCGCTCAGTCGTGTGATCCGATGGACTGTAGCCGACTAGGTTTCTCTGTCCGTGAAATTCTCCAGGTGAGAATACTGGAGTCAGTTGCCATCCCCTTCTCCAGGGAATCTTCGTGACCCAGGGATTGAACGTGGTTCTCGTGCATTGCAGGCAGGTGGTTTATTTACTGTCTGAGCTACCACGGAAGCCCCCACTTTATTTCCTAGTAAATTCTTTAAAGACACCATTAAAACATTTATAATTTATGGGTGTTTATAAAAGATTTTCAAACAAACAAGAAATGCAAGTTATGAAAGACAGTATCTACTTTCTTGGTCCAGGATTCAAACCTGCACAGATCCCAGGTCTGTAAAGGAACCTTCTCCAAGCCACGGTCAACAGCGCCCTCTAGTGGGCTCTGAATGACAGCACCAGGAGAGCTTCTGCTCATGGTCTCCTGCATCCCCACACCAAGACTCAACTACAGGAGCACAGGCGGGAGAACCATGGGAAAACTCCCTTCACGGTGTCATACTGGGACCTAGCTGGGGGGCAGGATTTGCATAAGATCTCACCTTGTACAGCAGGGCCAGCCAGGGTTCTTTCCAGCACATGGTATTATGTAATCCAACCCTCAAAAGCTTTGATAATCCAAAGCTTTTGTGATGCTTTGGTATGCAGGGACTTGTGGCTCATGGGTGAGCACAGAAAATGAGCTAAACTTGTTTCATGTTGTCACTGAAATCCTCCACTCTTGGGTGTAGTCTGCAAGATCCTTTGTGGGCTACCTGGGCTAAGTCTGTGAGCTCACCTCCTTCCCCGCCTCCAACACAGGAACTCCTTCCTGCCTCGGGATCTCTGCACTGGCCGTTCCCTTTGCCCAGAATGCTCCTGCCCAGACTGCCTCTTGGTTCAGACTCCCTTCTTGTCATTCAGCTCTCACGGAGGCATTCCCTGACTATCCTGCTTCATGTTGATCCCCACTCCAGTCTCTAAAATACCTTGTTTTATAACCTCCATGGCCCTGTTCACATCTGCAGTCATCGTGGTGAGCTGCCTGCGGTTTGTCTTCCTCCTTAGAATGATGGGTGTAGGGAATTTATCCAGGACCCAGCAGACACCCTGAGTGGGTGGGTGCTCAATGAATACACAGGGAAGGACTGGAGAAAGGCGCAGACAAGGAATTAGCCAGAGACCACGTTAGAGAAAAGTCTGGAGGTTTACTCAACAACAGTCACAATCACAGTTGTACATGGTAAGTCAGGTCTTCACAAAGGCTCACTTTTCCAGGCAGGAGATGAGAGGCTGGTGGTCTCAAGCTTTCTCTATGGAATCCCACATCTGACCTCTCAGATATTCCCTGCGTGTAATCCCTCTGGGATCCTCCTTCAAGTCTGAAACACAGCAGGAACCCAGCTCTGTGGGCCGGCACAGCTGAATCAAAAGACATTTTGAGAGCAGACATTAAGAGGACCTTGTCACTTGGAATGTAGGTGCAACTCCCACCCCAGAGGTGACAGTGGGCTTTGGCACAAGATCTAGTTAGAACTAAATTATTACTTGAATTTTTTAAAAAAGCATCAGTTGAAAGCAGAAAAGAATTCCAGGACAGGACCCACTCCTTGCCCTTCTCCCATACTTAGAAATCCTCAGAAAACTTAATCAAAGTTGCACTGCCTCCTAAGAATGACAGAGATCACCCAGTCTTGTGCAAACCAGGGATCTCTGAAGCAAGGTGTCCAGATTTCTCAGTTACTTCTGTAAAGTGCTTTGCGGCTCCTTTGAAACTTCAGAGATTAGAAATATAGAGATGCATACCCAAAAATATGGAGCCATCTTCAAGGACATCATCTATTTCTTAAAGAGAAAAAGAAATTCAACAGGTGGTGAATATAATGTGGACTTTGGGAATCCATATTCTACATCTCCAAAAAGAATCATTATTTCTCCCCAGGTTCTGAGGTTGCATCCCCCATCGGATCTCTTCTGTGGATGTACTCCCTTCTGACTCTGAGTTATTTCTTCCAAAAATGGGGAACTGATAGCTCCTGAATGGTTTTAAAAGTTGAAAGCTCCAGCTGGAAGCACAAGGTGGAATGGCTTTTCTCGCACGTGCCCACACACTTAGCATTACCTCCATGGCCTTGAACTTACTGGGAAGATGCTCTTTGCATTCTGAAATGTTCCTGTAGTCCCCCTTTGGAAAGGCTGCTGGGGGCCACACAGGTGTGATACTTTGTAGGCACACCCTGTTTTGTGACCTCATGCTCAGAAGAAAGGCTTTAGAGGAGAAGGAGTCCACATTCTCACCATCACCTGGCTGACAGCACCTCCACAGTCTCACAGATCCTTGAGACAGGTGGTTTTCCAAAATGAAGACACAACAGTGAATGGCTATTATGTGCGAATGGTTGGTCTGTTAATGAATGGACTTCTCTCCTTTCTTCCCTGATTACAAGCTATGTCAAGTCTTGGCACCCACAGATGTGGGTTCAGCAATTGCAAATGTCCGAGTGCTCAGAGGATCTACCCATCCCTTGTTGAGGGTGCAAAACCAGCCTCAAAAGGAGAACCAAAGGATAGAAAAGAGGACACATGAAGACTGCTTGCTCCCGCTTTCCACATGCGTCCTGGTCTTGCCGAGAACACTGTCACCTGCTGGAGTGGGACCTATTGCAAATCTAATCGCTGGGGGTGGGATGGGGGCTGCAGACGTGGCTTCCAAACAGGCCCCTCTCCCAGGGGTGGCTGAGACCCTTCTTGGCCATGGATTAAAAGAGCCATCCAGTTGCCTTTAAATTCAGGGTGTTACTCGCATTGAATGGAATAACACCTGGCCCTCCGGCCCTTGTGGGGCATTGCTGTTTCAGATACTGCTCTAGGCCCAACGCCTCCTGCTTGAAATCAGACATTAGGAAACACACACTCATCCAACAGGGATTGCACACATCACCAAAAATGTACCCCACCCCCCCAACCCTGCCCCCTTACATCTAGCAAGGCACTAGAAAATGATTCAAGTTTAGGGATTGGCTGTACGTTTGCATGTTTTTCTTTTTAAAAGGCACAGTTTTCATTTTAATATCACTGCATTACTTCTGATGATGAATCCTACCTCAATTCTCCCAAATTGCAACACTCTTGCTTTCCGAGATTCTGGAAGGGGCCGCATCTTTTGACTCCTTCCTAAAGAGGGTTACTGCCAAAAGGTATAGCACTCACTTGGAAAAGACAAGATGGACAAGCAAGCTTTTTAAGCATGGGGCCGCCTCTCCTGCAGACAGGTGGCCAGAGTGGGACCTGTGCTGAGGCAGAAGGTGGAAGCGAGGCTTTGCCCGCTGCACGCTTCACTGCGGCGGTGGTGGCTGGGAGAGTTTACTTCCCTCCCCAGATAACTGACGAGATCAGCCAGCATCTCAAAGGCAGATCCGTGGCTCTGCTCCCAGATTTATGTCTCAGTTATTTCACTGGTAAATAACACAATCGAGAGGCTCAACTCTAATTGGAACACGGATTTGAAGGACTTCCTGGGCTAGCTGGCGGGAGCAATGGGCTGTAGACTGCGATTTCCATTTCTGAATCAGTGGGTGGCAGGCTGGTTAGAGAAACACTTCCTATTAGTTTGGGAGCCCTCTGGGAGTTTGACACATAATTAACAAAGCAAAAGGTAAACGCAGAGGCCCGTCATGGAGCGGAGTGCATATCTGTTTGTGGGACGCTGGGGTGTTCACTGCAGCCATGACTGTGGTGGGGATGGCACAGCTTCTGGCCTGCGCTGAGGACTGCGTCACACCCAGGTCTCTGGTATGAGTGGATGGACGTGGGTTCCCCCACCCATCCCCCAACACCACCAACCTTGGACTTCACAGGTTGTTTCTAGGCTAGGGGCTGCCTTGAAGGTTTTACAGTTGACTGGCTCCTTCAATCACAGCATTCCAGAAATCCATACTGGATGCTAAAATACCAGAATCCTATGTGGCACTCTAGTTGGTGACCCAAGTACAGAGTTCTTTAAAAATTCTAGAATTCCAAATGAGAACCAAACCCACAATGAGTTGGGGCTAGGCAACCGGCCTGCGGTCCACCTCGGCGGCCTCCGGACTTTGTGAGGCCAGCACGTCACACCTCTGCTCCTGTTGAGGCAGGCAGTTGCCTGAGGGAGGGAGAGGAAGGGAGAGAGAGAGAGAGACGGAAGCGCTGATGGGGAAAATTCAAGCAGAATTTCTAGTTTGGAGGTCTTCTACTATGCCTACGCCACAGACTCAAGGCCATCTGAAACCCAGTCCTGAAGAGCTGGTGGCCGGACTGTCCTCGAGCCTGGAGAGCACTGAAATGGGCATCTTGAGCACCCCGAGAGCCAGGGGAGATGCCCGGGCTGTCCATGGTGGCAAAGGAGGACCACACTTCTGCCCCAGGCCTGACAGCTGGCCGGCGGTCAGTACTGAACTCGGAGGGCCCCAGGCACGGCTTCTAACTGCATCTCCTTGGGTCATGACAGAGAACAGATGCTGGGGAGTAACTGCAGTTATCCCAAGCTGGGGCCAAAATGAAAAGGCTGAAACCAATGGCCCCGAGAAAGACTCTTGCCCTTCTGCTGCTGATGAGTGGCACTGTTGCTTAAAGTTGGCGCCTACAGACACAACTTGCCTCTCTCTCGCTACAGGACCATCATGGATGAGCCAGCTGAAGCTCAGGCAGCCTTGGAGGATTGTGTTTTGGGTGCCCGAGGGCTATCCTGGCATTCCTCCCGTGTACCGCTCAAGGGAACATGAAGACGGGGTGAAAGGGCTCTCCTGGGTTTCCACGTCACCGCCAGGGGTGCAGCGGGCTCTGCTCTGGAGTGGGGCCTCTCGTGGGGTCTGTTCTCCATGCCTCCGCCACTTGGGGCCTGCAGGGCTGGGCAGACACCCAGCCCAGCTTCAAGAGCCCCCTCTGCCATGACCTGGCTGGCCAGCACCTTGTACAGAATGGGGGAGCCCTGGGAGCCCTGCCTTCCTCCGGAGAGGGAGGCTGCAGGGAGTGCTGGAGGGGACCCTGCCTGGCTCACTGCGGGAACGTGAGGGCTCATAGTTCAGGGCTCAATAGCTTCAGTTGCTATTGAATTTTTCCAAGACTGTGGAGTTGGTGTGTTCAAACAGCCACTGCTGGGTGGGAGAGGAGGGGTTGCAGGTGTTCATGAAGATCCTGTGGTCACTTTCACTGCAGTCCATGCAACTGCCACTGACGGGGTGGTAGAGGGTCTGGTCCTGTGAAACAGGCAGGTAGGTGGTCAGCCGGGCCGTGCGGGGCAAGTGAGCACAAGCAGCAGCAACGACGGCGAGGGACGGGGGTGGGGCTCGCAGGCCTGCCCGGCTCGCCTCCCCACCACACAGTGGACACTGCCCACCTTCCTTGAGGCTGGCCTTGCCACGTGCCTGAGCAGCGCCTGCTGGGATGAGGACAAAACTGATGTCTGCCACTTCCGGGCTGGGACCCTAATCAGTGCCCATCTCCAGTCAAATTTCATTTGCTCTCAAGGTGGTTAAAAAAAAAAAAAGAAGACTCAGCTGCCAACATTTAAGATTCTAAAGCTGAATTTTAAAAAAAAATTAAAAATAATAGAAAAAGAAAAAAAAAGACACTAAAGCTGGGTTTCGGATTTCTTTTGATGACAGGAGAGTCAGGGAGGTTTGTGTAACAAATGCATGGGGGAGGGGGCTCTGGGGAGAATGGGGGAGGCACTTTTTTTTTTAAAATCAAGCAGGCTCCCCTGTCCACCCGCCTCCACACCCTGTCTTACTTTGCGGTACTTCCAGAGCTGGTTGCCCTTCATGCTGTGGCAGTCGTAGAGGGTGACGGGGCTGGTGTGGGAGACGGCATCGAAGCAGAACTTCTTGGTGTGCTGGGGGTCTCCGGGCCGGATGTCCTCTCTCCAGGTGAAGGTGAACACCTGCATGCACAGGGACGCCATGACACCGACAGCAAAGCCAAGCTAGGGGATTCTCTGCTTTTGCAATTACAGGAAATTTTAAACACAGGGGTTCAGAACACTGTATACTGATATAAAAATACTTACCCTCTCTCTCTCTTTTTTAACCATGTCTCCAAAATTGTTTATTTTACACTTATAGCAAGTGACAACTGCTAGATTTTCATTGGTTAAAGCAAAAGGTAGTCTCACCCCAAAAATAAAACTGTGTTTAAAGGAAAAAATACCTTCAATTACATGTTGAAATGATAATTTTGATATTTAGGGTTAAATAAACAATATTATATATAAAAAGTATATTGATGATACCTGTCCCAGTGACCCAGCTTCAACGATATCCATCACCCCAAAGGCACCCTCCTGCCCTCTGTGATCTCTTTCCTTCTGCCCCTCCCCAGGCCCCTAGGCAACTCCTTTCTTTGTTATAAAAGAGGAGCTCACAATTTCTAGAATTTTATATAAAAAGAATCAGACAATATCGATCCTTTTTGTCTGATTTCTTTCACTCAACACACTTCTGTTGAGATTTAATCACATTGTAACTACAGCATTTATCAACAATTCATTCCTTATTGTTGCCGAGCTGTATTCATTCACTGCATGATACTCGATATATCTGTTCTTGAACATTTGGGTTGTTTCTAGTTTTTGGTTATTTCAAATAGGGCTGCTATGAACACGTGTGTACAGCCATTGTATGGACATGGACATTCCTTCTCTCTTGGATGAACCCCTTGAAGAGGGATGGCTGGATCACAAGAAACATCAATGTGTAACTTTCCAAGAAACTGCCAAATGTTTTCCAAAGTGGTTGTACCAGTCACATTCCCACCAGTAGTGTATGGTTCCAATTCATCTACATCCTTGCCAACCCTTGGTATGGTTGGTCTTTCTAATAGGTTATGATTTTAATTTCCATTTCTCTTATAACTATGAAGTTAAGCATTTTTGATGTGCATGAAGTTAAGCATTTCTGGTGGCTCAGGCGGTAAAGCGTCTGCCTGCAATACAGGAGGCCTGGATTTGATCCCTGGGTTGGGAAGATCCTCTGGAGAAGGAAATGGCAACCCACTCCAGTACTCTTGGAAAATCCTGTGGATGGAGGAACCTGGTAGGCTATAGTCCATGGGGTCACAAAGAGTCGGACACGACTGAGTCACTTCACTTCACTTCATGACTTCTTCACTAAAATCTCTACGCACCTTTTGCCCATTTTTAAATTGCATTGCTTATTTTCTTATTGAGTTTTGAGAAATTTTACATTCTAAACATTTCCCTGGTGGCTCAATTGGTAAAGAATCTGCCTGCAATGTGGGAGACCTGGGTTCTATACTTGGGTTGGGAAGATCTCCTGGAGAAGGGACTGGCTACCCACTCCAGTATTCTGGCCTGGAGAATCCCATGGACTGTATAGTCCATGGGTTCACAGTCAGACACGACTGAGTGACTTTCACTCACTCACAAACATTTATAGTTGTTATCAGATATATGCTTTGTAAACATGTTCTCTTAGTCTGTGGCTTGTCTTCCTATTTTCTCAACAGTGTCTTTTAAGAACAGACTTTTCTCATTTTGAAGAAGTCCAATCTATCAATTTTTTTGTTTCATGAACTCTCTTTTGGTGTTGTATCTAAGAAACCATTGCTTGGGTTACCAAGATCAAACACTTTTGCCTGTGTTTTCGTCTAAAGAATTTTGGTTTCAGTTTTACGTTTAAGTCAATGACCCATTTTGAGTTAATATTTTTATGTAGTATAAGGTATTTATTGAAAAAAATGTTTTTGCACATGGATATGCACTACTTGTTGAAAATATTATACTTTTGCACTGAATTTCCCTTGAACATCTTTAAAGAGTGTGGATGGATCTATTTTTGGAGTCTCTATTCTCTCTTTATGTCAATATGGCACTGCTTTAATCAGTGACACTTTAACAATATATGTTAAAATCAGTCCTTTCACTTTGTATTTCTTTTGAAAATTTTTTTGGCTATTCTAGGTCCCGTCCAGTTTTCCATATGAATCCTCTCAAGTTCTTTGGTTCTTTGTCCAGCCCCAGGAGCTTCCTCACACACGTCAGTACTCTGCTGAATATGCAGGGGGGCCCTCTGTAAATCTCAGGCATTACCTGTGTCCGGCTCTCTCCACGTCTCCAGGATTCCGTTTTGTGAATTCTGGCCACCTTGACCTCCTGCACTCTCTGCGCTGCCTCCTCAACTCAGGGCGGGTGCCTGGCTCCCCCGGGCTTCTCCCCTCCTGACTTGTGGCCTGGGAACTCTCTCAAGGAAGGAAGCCAGGACAACCATTGTGCTTGTTGGCTCCCTGTCTTCTAAGGGTCACTGTCTTTCAAGGGTTGACGTGCGCTCTCCCGAAAACAGTCGTTTCACATATTTTGTCCATTTCTTTGGATGCTTCTGGTAGAAGGGTAAACCCAGTTCCTGTAATTCCATCTTGGCCAGAGGTGGGCATTGCAGTGGTGGTGGTGGTGGGGTTAGCCAGTTACTGCTCCCTGAATGTTGACTTCCCAGGCCTCCTCCAGGTCAGGAGCTGTAGCTTAGACTTGCATTTCTTCCTTTTCAGGCTCACTACAGCTCACCACTCAGAGTGGCTGTGGGCCCCATGGGAAACAGATCCCAGTGGGGCAACTGGGCTGACACACTCCCTGCCTCATGGTGGAGGCTGGCACACCCACACTCCAGGCACAGTTTGCAGTCAGCCTGAGCGAATCCTCTGTCTTTGTGTGGACTCTCCCCTGCAAGGGGAGCTATTCTGAAGCTGAGCTCCCTAGACCTGTTCTATCCAGGCCCTGTATTTCTCCTGGTCTCTTCTGCAGCCCCAGGATCAAGGAGCAGCCATACAGGGCTATGGAGAATTCTTCTGAATTCTCAGAAGAGAATTGAGCATTCTTGAGAATTCTCAGAATGAGCATGTGGGCATACTTGCTCAGTTGTGTCCGACTCGTTGTGACCCCACGGACTGTCCCGTCAGGCTCCTCTGTCCATGGGATTCTCCAGGCAAGAATACTGGAGTGGGTTGTCAATGCCCTCCTCCAGGGAATCTTCCTGACCCAGGGATCGAACCTGAATCTCTTGCATCTCCTGCACTGGCAGGCAAATTTTTTACCACTAGCACCACCTGAGAAGCCCTTAGTCAGTAAGAGCCACTATCTAATAAGAATGGTTTTCAAGAAAGGATGGGGGAGGAAGTCACACATTCTGGATGCTGGCACTGTGCCTGCTAGGAGGCTGGTTCTGTGCTTGCCAGGAGGTGGTGTAATCTCAGCGTGTATGCTGTGCAGCCCTCCTGATCTGTTTTTACAGAGGACCCGCATTATAGTCTTACATCAGTGTACACTTCCCAAATGCCAGAAAATCCACAGCAGGGAGACTATAAACCACGTGTCTTTGAATCAAGATTCAGTGGATACCATGTGAGTTAACAGTGGGGTGAACCTGGGAAGGGACCAGGGGAAGCTACGTGCAGTTTCCTGCGAGAGGCATGTCTTTCTACATGGTGGGCTTGCACTCCTCACTCTGGATTATATCCTGTGGGATATATCCAACCCTTTCTCCTGTGTCACCCTATCTTTTGAGTGAGGATGACCACACCCTAGGCCCCAGGAGGGTCCTGTGACCCAGGTCACTAAGAGGACTGTGTCATACCTCCATCATCACTGGCTCAGGAAACCCAGCATGTGAGAGCCCCAGGTCTTTTCTGGAACTCATGGAAGGGACATGCCTTTTCACCGGGCGGCCGGCCGCCTAGAGCCGCTGGTGGCCACCTCTGCCACCACTTGGGAAGACAGTCAGCCAAGGAATGCAGCCAAGAGAGAGGGAAGCAGAGCTGGGGCCCTGGAGAGAGCCTGATGACATCATCGAGACTTCAGTGACATGAGCCAGAAACTTTCTGTTGACAGCCATTCGGGCCGAGTGTCTGTCACTTGTAACCAACAGTCCAGACTGATGTGCAGGATTCCTCTTTCCAAAGTGTCCAATAGGCTCTTATAACATGTCCCTTGGGCTGACATGTCACTCATCATTGCCTGGGCCTCTCCCCACCAGCCTTGACCACATGAGCACTGCAGGATTATGACGGCACAGGGAACCCAGCGGCCAGTCCGAGGAGCAGCCCCTACCTGCATGTTGTTCCAGGCGGCCTCCCCGCGGCCCCGGATGCAGCTCTCCAGCCTCAGTGGGGAGCCCAGGGCCCCGTGCTTCGTGTCTGCGCACAGCCCTGTGCCCACATTGCGGATCTGGATGAGAAAGAAGCAGAGAGGACCAAGCAGTGAGGTGCTTGGAGATATCCAGCAGGGCCCCTGCTGGGGAGGGAGGAGGGAGGCAAAGTAGGGGATGTCAGTGGTCAGAGCTCTGAATTCTAATGAAGTTCGTCCTGGACTGGTGGGTAGGACAGAACCTGTTAATAAGGGAACAGAGAGAGCAGCTCCACTCAACCTTGCTTTGAATTACAGTGTGCAGAGTCCTGGGGTGGGGCTGGGGCTTGGAGGGGAGGGGGTGTGGACAGGACGACTCCCGCCTCCTCTCCCAGACAATTTGACCCAGCAGGTCCAGGGATCAAATTTTACCCTCATTACAGGTGATGTAGAGGCTATGCCTTGAAGACTACTTTAGAAAAGGTGTAGGGTCTTTGCTCTTGGGCCTTGGGGCAGGTGAATGGGAGGCTCCAAAGAGGAACAGAGTCTTACTAAGGCGGGGGAGGACACCCTGTGAGTGCAGGGGCCTCAGCATGCGCTGGTCAGCCAGTACGGACTGCAGGCAGGCCACTGTGCTAGGGGCCGGCATCATGTCGTGTAGCTCCAACCTCACAGACATGGCTCCCCGTGTGATGGAGGGGTGGAGGGTGTCGGGGGCAGAGAAAAGGCCCGCTCCAGTGTCCAGCTGTAGGCAATCTCACCGTCCCGCTGCTGTGAGCCACACCGCCACTGTGTCCACTGTGTCGAGGGGAGGCCGCGCTCCCCTGGGCTGCCTCCAGCAGTGCCGGAGAGAGGCAGGCCCGTCCCCGGGGGAGGCGGACTCCTCTGGCAGGTGATTCATCTGAAGACTGCTCATTAGCACAGCCAGACTTCCTCAAAGCCTCACTTCGGGCTGGGGCTCTCCCCCACTCCCCCACTCTCCTCCTTTCCTCCCCTCTTCCAGAGGGCAGCCAGGCCGGTCTGGCAGCTCTCCTCGCCTCCCTGCTCATTTCTCTCCGGCGATGCCCCAGTAAGTGTCTTGCTCACCTAATCCCCTCTTGGTGCCTGCTTCCTGGAGGACCTGAACTAACACGGGGGAGAAAGCCAATGAGGTGGCAAAGAATTGAAGAGCTTCATGAGGGAAATCAAGAGGCACCTCATCTAGAAAATGTGCTGGTGTCCGGTGGGGCCAGGCAGAGGGCTTAGCGGGGAAAGGTCCCTCTAATTGGCTGCACAAGTGACACCTGATGCGTCTGCAGCCCAACATACTTCTCTCCAGGGTGTTGTGGTTGACAATGCTCTGATTTTCCTGGGGGCCATGGTTCCTGGCTCATCCCGTGGCCAGAACATCCACCCCACTCTTGTCGTCTCTTCCTCTAACGGCCATAGTGATTTGTGTGGATCCAAGAGTAAGACTTCAATCCTGAACCTTTGCAGACTCTACTGGGAAAGAGGTGCTTACTTCCTGTTAGGTTGGCCAAGCTGGGGCTCTCTCAGCCCAAGGTTTCCCAGAGCCATCTTGCTACTCTCGGCATGAGGACAACACACAGGGAAGCACAGTTAAGTAGGAAAAAAAAGAGACTGACATCATTTGAACCCCCTGGATCCAGGCGTTTGTAGTTGAAGCCAGAGTTACCCAAGATTTCTATGAGAATCAATCACTGCCCTTTCCACCTCAGAATGGACTTCTGTCACTTACAACAGAAGGAGCCCCAGCGTGTATGCTCCCCCTCCACAAGTCCCCTTATACCCATCTCTGAGTGGTCTTCTTAGCCAGAGACTCAGGGGCCGGGATGCGGTGACGGACTGCCTGCCTCCTCCAGCGGGACTCGCTTCTTGGGTGTGTGACAAGGGCAGCGGGTAAGGGTCCCTTACTCAGAGTCTGCGTTCAGTTTAAAGCTGTGCTGTCACTGTCTAAAGTGTCCTAATAATTTTACCTTTGGACCTGAAAGTGAAATCTCATGGGCTAACAGAGCACGCACGTGGGCAGAGCTGACGCAGACTCTGAGCGCCTGCTGCTCCTCTCTGCCGTGCTCACATACAGCATCTCTGAGTCCCTGCAGGACAGTCCCTGGGTCCCCCAGAGGCACGGGAACTCAGCAACGCTCAAAGCAGGTAGGGGTTGAGGGTGTCACAGCTGTGTCTAAGCAGGGGTGCTGGCCTGTCCCAGAGGCTACACCCTCCTTTCCAACCAGAACCGGCTTCAGCTTCACAAAGGAACGTGTCCAAGACACAGGAGGGACTGTGTAGGGGTTGAGGGTGTCACAGCTGTGTCTAAGCGGGGGTGCTGGCCTGTCCCAGAGGCTACACCCTCCTTTCCAACCAGAACCGGCTTCAGCTTCACAAAGGAACGTGTCCAAGACACAGGAGGGACTGGGAAACCCTATCGTGTCCTTTCTTTCTTTGCGGCTGCACTGGGCCTTCGTTGCGGTGTGCAGGCTTCTCATCGTGGCGGCTTCTCTTGTTGCGGAGCACAGGCTCTAGGGCACCTGGGCTGCAGTAGTTGGGTCATGAGGTCTTAGCTGCCCTGCATCATGTGGAACCTTCCCAGACCAGGGATCAAAACCGAGTCCCTGGCATTGGCAGGCAGATTCTTAACTACTGGATCACCAGGGAAGTCTATGTCCTTTCGTTCTTGCGTTAATTCCCTGGATGACCCAACTACTTCAGCAGCAAATAGCACAGAAGCAAAGGGAAGGAAGGGGCAACCTAGAGTTCCTTTTCCTTCAGTTCTTTCCCACTCATCAGGAAGATGTTGATAGGATGTGTACCATATCAAGAAGTGAAAGAAATACAGCTGAGTTAGTTCTGTGCTGTGTTTCCAAGGCTCTGGTAAGAAATACATATGCATGGGTGAGGTCTACAATATGGATTGTGAAATTTCACCAGTTGTACATAAATTGAATGTTCCCTTGGCCTTTAAAACTGGCACTGCAGATCATAAAGATGAATAGTAAAATTCATGCTAATACTTTAAAGTTTTAATTTTTTTCTACTTGTAACATTAAATAGCGAACAAACAAAAACCACCACCCCAAGGCTAAGAAGAGAGACCAGAGAAAGAAAGGAGAAAGTTTGTATGTTACACCTCTTCTGGCACTTTTTAGATGACACTAAGCTTTTTTTTTTTTTTTTTAATTTTAATTGAAACATAGTTTATTTACAGTGTTGTGTTACCGGCACTTTTTTCTCTAAATTATGGACCCTGCGCGTGCATTTTGACTCGAAGACCTATTTATGCTGCGGGCCCTAGCCTTCACACTCACCTCACCCCAGGCTGCGGCCGGGGGCTCCACGGGTGGGTAGAATTGGGGCAGATCCCAGGCGATCTTGGTCATAAACCACTTGAAACTCTTGCAGTTCAGGGAGCTACGGAGCTTCTTCTGGGCAGTCACGTCCCCAGCGGAGAGGTGTCGGTACTCTGGGCGGCGCTGGTAGATGTGCTCCGCGTACTCGTCCATCCACACCTCCGCCACTCGCTTCAGATTCTGAAGGAGACGGGCAGGTGCGAGAGTCAGGCTCTCCGTAGGGTCAAGGAGGGCGGGGGGTGCAAACGGTCTGTGAGGTTGAGGTCAACCTTTCTTATTTTATGTTGTATCAAGTGCTGTTGCCACACTGTTTTTAAACCTTCAATATTTCCATTTTTTAAATCAACATTTTAAGAGCTCTATAGCTGACGGTTGAGTAAATACACTGAAGCCGGTTTTCTCGACCACCTTGGACCCCTTCCTTCCTAGAGAGTGCCTCCCACTGAATTTGGGGACCCACCCCTGCCTTTTATTTCAGACGGCCGAAGGAAAGCCACGTGGCTCAGTCTGGCCAATGGGAATATAGATAGCAGGGACATACGGATTGGTCAGGAATGAGCATGTGACCTGCTCAAGCCAATCAGAATCAAGAGGCATTAGTTCTGGAAGAATTGCTGGGTAAGATCCAATGGGTAAGATGCCAGGGAGAGCCGCTGGGGCATTTGAAAACCCCGTCCAAGGTTAGGTCATCCCAGAATGAGGCAGACCTGAGGGTTAGAGCCAGGAACACATTACTCTTTTGGTTCCAGAATCCAGCCTTGTCTGAAGCCAGAATTAGCACAGAGCTTTCCATTTACATGGGTCAGTAACTTGGCTTTCTGCTTAACCCAATTTGAGTTGGGCTTTTGTCACATTCAACTAAGAGTTCTGCCCAAGTTGGCTAGTAAAAACGAATTACAAGTTGCAACCAGGAGGTAAAATTCCCTCAGCAGCTAGAATTTTTAACAATCCTTTGAGGTGTTAAGGTTGCTGCCACTTTTATTACGAAGCACAAAGATAAAAAAAAAAAAAAAGATAACCGTATTACTTGCAAGTCAAAGCAGCAAGAGGTGAGGAAATATCCTGTTTATGAGTAGATTTGGAGAGAAAGGAAAAGTGAATTCTTCTGTGTAACTGTGATGAGAATCTCTCACTCCACCGGCAGTGTAGACTCCACCTGCTGACAACCTCTTACTTGGCTTGGAAGAGCAAAACATCAGAGTTGAGGGGAAATTCCCTGCTCTTAAACATCTTCCTCCAACCCCACATACCGCTCCCCTCCCATTTTATTTTCTAGGCTTTATCATATCATTTTCCCCCTTTTGCAATCCAGATTTCCTTCTGAAGAATAAAAATGAGTTAGCACATCAGTCACACACACTTCGGTGTAAATGACTGCCCTAGAGGCAGAAGGTAAGGTTGCAGTTGGCAAATGTTTTCTGTAAAGGGCCAGACAGTAAACATTTTAGGCACTGCAGACCATGTGGTCTCAGCTCTGATGTTGCTATAAAGCAGCCCTAGACACTGCATCAATAAATGGGTGTGGTTGTATTCCAATCAAATTTTATGGACACTGAAATTTGATTTTTCACGTTTCACAAAATATTATTATTCTTTTGATTTTTTTTCCCCTAAGCTATTTAAAAATGTAAAAACTATTCTTAGCTCATAGGTCACACAAAAATACTTTGCTGACTACTGAGTAAGGAGAAGGGAAGCCTTGGTATTGAAGCTGAAACTCCTCACTTTTGCTGGCTTTGAGTTTGGGAGTAGGAAACTACAAAATTTCTTGCTGCTGCCTCATTTTTTCTTGAGTTCTGAAGAGGTTGACAGTGGGTCAGCAATCAACTCAGGAACATTGTTATCCCCACCAGGCCCCTGCATGGCAGAGGCTGGGTTTAATTTAAAACTGTGCCCTGGGAATTCCCTGGCAGTTTGGTGGCTAGGACTCCACGCTCTTACTCCTGAGGGCCCATGTTCAGTCCTTGGTTGGGGAACTAAGATCCCACAAGCCATGCAGTGCAGTCCCCCACCTTCCGCTAAAAGAAATAAAAAATAACAACAATAAAAAGCAATTGTGTTGAGAGGAAGTTGAAGGCCTAAAGGGGCCAGCACATGTGAACACTTTTCTTTTCCTGGTCTTCCACTCAGGTCCTCTGGCTCACTGGTTATCTGAAGCCACAGAGATGATGAGGGACCATCATGGTTTTCTCTCCAACCATAGGCAAGGATGGCCAAACTGACCAAGGAAAGGTGCTGAAATTCACCAGTGTTCTTTTTAAAGGATAAAATCAAATAATATTCTAATTTTAACTGATACTTAAATTACTATTTTAATGAGTATTATATTTTCCAGACGGTTTAGTAAGTCATTTCTCCCAGATCTTGAACTTTTGTACAGTTACTGGACCAAAGTAAGGACCTTTACATTTATGTCTATTACTTCTCCCGTTGCTAGAGTCATGAAAAGGACTCTGAGATTTTAGTGGGCTGTGGGTTCCTCTTATCCTTACCCTTGAAAGTAAAAGTGAAAGTTGCTCAGTCCTGTCTGACTCTTTGCGACCTCATGGAGTGTAGACCGTGGAATTTTCCAGGCCAGAATACTGGAGTGGGTAGCTGTTCCCTTCTCCATGGGATCTTCCCAGCCTAGGGATCGAGCACCTTCCTTTGATCCCTGGGTTGGGAAGATCTCTTGGAGAAGGCAGTGGCAACCCACTCCAGTATTCTTGCCTGGGAAATCCGGTGGACAGAGGAGCCTGGCAGGGTACAGTCCATGGGGTCACAAAGAGTCGGACACGACTTAGTGACCGAACAACAACGCCTTTCTAGTTCTGGGTTCCAGTCCTACCTGAGGCTCCTCGTGCTCTTCTTATGCTTGGATCACAGACCTTTGCCCAGAATCTTGGAATAAGTCTCTAAACAAAAGTCAACTTTTGTTTCATCGAGCTTGACTGGGTTTCTGTTACTGCCTTCCCAAAGACCCCTTGGCCAGAGGCACAGGTGAGAAGGGTCTTAGCAACTTCAGTGAACAAACTGCCTGGTTACTGGTTCTTGAGGCAGGCGAGCTGGCGGCCATTCATTCTTCGTGAATCGCTGTTCTATTGCTGCCTGTCTCTTTGTCCTTCCAAGTCTGTACACCTTTAGTAAGATTTTGGTTATCCTCTTTATCTGTCTGTCGTGGGACTTTCAGAATATCTCTTCTCAAATCTATCAATACGATGTTCTAGGAGATAATGCTCTAGAAGGATCTGGTTGATAAAACACTGAGAAAAACATGTAAATTATAATTTGGAACTAAGCAAAAATAGTTAGATACTGTGATAAAAAGTCAGGAGACCTTGATTGAGGCACCTTTGGTCCTGCCAGCCTACATGGGCACCACGCAGACTGCTAACGGGTTTAAAGCCAATAGATTGACTCAGTAGTGACAGGTGAAAAAAGCTGAAATGTTACAACACAGGATTCAGATAAGACATTGAAATCAACTTCCCAACCTTGTTAATACTGATGCCAACACATACTGGTAATAACAATAGCAGTCACTATTTAAAGGATAATTACACTGTGCCAGGCACCAATCAGACCTAAGTGGGTTTGAATTCGGGCTCTAGTTACTTTGTGTCTTTACATTTCACTGTCCTCATTTCTAAAATGATTAAAAACAAGTTGAGAACTAAGCGAGGTAAGTATGTAAGATGCCAACTTTGAACAAGGCCTGGCTCACAGGAAGTTTTTGTTCATCCATGGATCAATAAACAGGGAGTGATGGCATGTATTTCCCAGGTGAGTCATATTGACATGACAGCTCTGGTCAGGGAAAGGAGTTTGGGAGTGGTCCTTCTCAGGGGTCTGAGGTGTCTCAATGGTCCCACAGTCTCCAGCAGTTGGAAGAGTCACAGTCTTGGGCTTACTGAGAGACTCTGGAGTCTTTCTGCCTGGCACCTTCTTCTGGGATTGCCAACAACATTTCAGAGGAAATGTGATTTCTGCCTCTCCTGCAGAACTGGAACTCACACCTGCATAGGACCAGGCTGTCCCAAGCAGGGATAGCTAGTGTGGCTGTCGTTGGAATCTTCGACCACTAGAGGGCATTGCTGGCTCTCTTTTCCATCAACACCAGTCCCTATAGTAGTCCAAGCCCAGCATCCTGGAAGACTACTGCCCCTCTGACCATCTTGATCTTCCTTGTAAGTCACAGTACAAGGGCTCTTTCGACCTCGGCTGCAATTCTGCACATCGCTGATTGTCAGGTGACAAGGGAGGGAGAGGCAGTGGCCTGGGCAGGAGGCTGTGTGGACTGAAGCCAAACAGGTTGGCAAGGGGTAGGGTGGGGGTCTTCAGGGGTAGGGTGGGGGTCTCCAAGAGGCAAAGCTATACTGTGACCCTTCCAGATCCCCCAAATTTCCTGGCTGTCTTTACCCTCTGAGATTCTGCCCCCCACCTCTCCCAACCTTCATTGTTCTTTTGCAGTCATCTTGATTTTTTCAAGACTCTTAATATTTTAAAATTTATTATTATGGCTTAATGAAATATTAGTAATACAAAACAAATAAAAATTTCTGGCTATTTCCATTTGTAGATAATGGCCACTAATTAGAGTGATGATTGATATAAACCATTTAAGGCAATAAAACAGTTTAACATAGAATTTTGGGCATGAAAATGGAGAGGGGGTGAGGAGAGGACACTAACATTTATTAACCACCACTGTGCCCAGACCTTTCAGATACCATCTCATGCATGTGCGTGCTCAGTTGCTTCAGTTGTGTCTGACTCTTTGTGACCTTATGAACTGAGAGGAGCCACCAGGCTCCTCTGTCCATGGGGATTCGCCAGGCAAGAATACTGGAATGGGTTGCCATGCCCTCCTCCAGGGGATCTGCCCAACCCAGGGATCGAACCCATGTCTCTTATGTCTCCTGCATTGGCAGGTGGGTCCTTTACCACTAGTGCCACCTGAGAAACTCTAAGTACCATCTCAGTCTTTCTCAAACATGCCACTCTACCTATATTAACTTTTATCTAACATGTTTCTTTAAATCACCCCTAGTCTAACTTGGCACCAACTTTAGCTTTATCCTAAGTCACAATGTCTGTGAAATCATGAATCTGCTACACTAATCCACATATAATTTAAACGCATGGAAATAAAAATGTTCCTATGTCTACCACCTAAAATCACCTCCCTGGTCACACTTTGGGAAACTGAATTATCTCCTTAAGTCTCCTGGCCACGCTAAGAGTTGGAAAAAGTGAGCTTCCTTGAAGCAGAGGAGTAAATAGAGCCTAAGAGCAAGCCTCCCAAGGTTACAGAGCTAGTAAGTGATTAAGCAGGGCTTTAAGTAAGTTTTCAAATTTTTTCACGTATTTATTTATTTTGGCTGTGCTGTGTGGCTTGTGAGATCTGTTACCCAACCAGGGCTTGAAGCTATGCCCTTGGCAGTGAAAGCTTGGAGTCTCAACTGCTGGACCATGAGGGAATTCCTTGGCGGGTGGGGATGGCGCACATCCTCACACCTGGGGACCACTAGGCCTAGGGCATGGGGTGCCTCTGATCTGCTGAAGTCAGGCCAACCTCTCACCCCCTAGGGAAGCTACCAGCTTACCCGGGCCAGGCTGACTCCAGCAGGCACCTTGTAGGGCACGTACTTCCTGTAGATATGGCCCACCCTGGAGCAGGGAATGTCCTCCATGCGACCTCCACACATCCACACCTGCAGGATGAGAAGTGAGAGATGATACTTCTGCCCCCAGTTCACAGCCTCCTCAAAGGCCAGTGTTCCTTTGTGCATCCCTAGAAAGCATCAGCTTGGATTGTGTAATAAAGCCCCCATTCACAGGACCAGGGATGTAGGAAAACACAGTGATGACAAGAGCAGCAAAAACAGCTCAGGGCATCGAGTGCTGACTCCAAGCCAAACACTCTGCTGTGAGCTTCACACGCACAGTTTCATGGAAGCCTCATCAGAAAACCCATAACGTTAGGTAGTAACGGAGCTCCATTTTACAGATAAATAAACAGAGGCTCAGAGAAGCTAAGAAACCTCTCTGAGGTCACAGGGTTAGTATGTGGTAGAGCCAGAAATTTAAACGCAGTTTGAGCTGACTCTGAAGAAAGCTGAGAGCCGAAGAATTGATGCTTTTGAACTGTGGTGTTGGAGAAGACTCTTGAGAGTCCCTTGGACTGCAAGGAGATCCAACCAGTCCATCCTAAAGGAAATCCTGAGTCTTCACTGGAAGGACTGATGCTGAAGCTGAAACTCCAATACTTTGGCCACTTGATATGAAGAACTGACTAATAAGACCCTGATGCTGGGAGGGATTGGGGGCAGGAGGAGAAGGGGATGACAGAGGATGAGATGGTTGGATGGCATCACTGACTCAATGGACATGAGTTTAAGTAAACTCCAGGAGTTGGTGATGGACAGGGAGGCCTGACATGCTGCAGTCCATGGGGTTGTAAAGAGTTGGACATGACTGAGCGAATGAATTGAACTGAACTGAGCTGACTCGAGTCTGAGCTCTGGATAAGTGTCAGAATTATAAGGGGGCATGGAGGGCTCTGTGGGCAGGACTGTGATGATCACTTTGTACTTTGTGCTGGTAGGGACTAGGCTGTGTATTTGCTGACTTTGGCATGGGCTGCTGGAGTTCCCTGTTGGGCCTGTAAATCTCTTGCTGGGTCACCCTGAGCAGTCACCTTTCTCCTGCCCTGACTCCCCTGCAGGCTGGCTCGCTCAGCTGCGCAGCTGGGCACTGCTGCCTGCAGTGTGGGAGCTGGTGCTGCTCCTGAGTCTCCCTTCATAACCGGCATCACAGAGGTCCCCTGAGTAGGAACTCTGGTCTGATGGCAAAATATGAGAATTCTTAACAAGTACAGTCAACCCTCTTAGAGGCCCAGCCTAAACAGACCCCTTTCTGGCGGTCCTGGGTTCAAATCCCGACTCAGTCACTATCCAGCGTTGTGGCTTGGATGATGGCACCTAACTTCTCTGAGGCTCAGTTTCCTCATCTGTAAAGGATGAACTGAGGTAGGTTCAGGGGATGAGGTATTTTAGGTGAGGAGCTTACCACAAGCCCTAGCCCCTAGTCACAGCGGTGTGAGATACTGCAATGATGGGTTCATACATGTGGCTAATATTTGTGGACTGCTTGCTACGTGTCAAACACTGTGCTGGGCACATACAGCAGTGAAAAAGTTGGTCAAGGCCCCTGCTCTCATGGAGCCGGAGTGTGCTGGCCAGCCCTGGAGACGCCCCCCAGTGACCCCCGTGTCCCAGTATTTGCACCCTTAGGCAGTTCCCTCCCAAAAGAGCCAAATGAGGACTGGCCTGTGTAACCAACAAGATGCTACAGAAATGATGGCCATGAAGGACAATGTGGCTCCCATCTTGCTCCCTGGGATCGCTTGCTTTGGGGCAGCCAACTGCCACATTGTGAGGATCCTCAAACAGCCCCGTGGAAAGGCACAGGTCGTGAGGAGCTGAGGTCTCCTGCTAAGAGTCCTGACTTGCCCACCATGTGAATAAGCCAGCTTAGAAGTGGATCCTCCAGACCCAGTCAAGCCTTCAGATGACTGTAGTCCTGGTTGACACAACTGTGTGACAGACCCAGGCAGAACTATCTCACTTAGCCACTCCCAAATCCTTGACCCTCCAAGACTTTGAGATAATAACTGTCTATTGCTGCTTTGAGATTATTTTTTCCTGTGGCAGTAGATACCTAATACAGGGACTTTCCGATGGTGATGTGCACTCTTCAGAAGCCAAGGCAAGGTAACTAGATGGACTCATTGGACAGACAGATGGGATATACTGCACTACCCCCACCTGTCAGGGAACGCCTCCCCGGGAAGGAAACAGTCATATCCCATGAGGGGATAGGCACATGTGGGACTGCAATTAGTGGAAATGCTGCTTGGAGAAATGCAATTATATTCTGGTCTTGGGGGAGAAAAAAAAAATCGAGCAAGTCAATAGAACAGAACATTGGTCTCGAGATAATGGGCTCCTGATGGTAGATTAATGTCAGGGCCAAGCCAAGAAGTTTATTTTCAAAGCAGGAGATATTGATCAGGCGCCAGCATCCTATAACAATAACTCTTCCTTTATACAGAGTGACTGATGTGGAAGCGATGCTTTTGTCTGGCGGATATTGCCCGGGTTGCTGGGCCGCCCCTGCCTTGAGGGAGGCGGAGTGGCACAGAGCAGGTGGGGCACACCTTCCCCTGCTCTATGCTGAATGTCTTCTGGGCAGTGGACTAGGCTGGCATCCAGCTCTCTCGACTCCATATTAAACTTGCATTAGCTAACGAGGCTGTGTCTCCGGCTTTGCCTGGCAAGGAGCCTTCCTTTATGCAGATGGATTTCCAGATCCTTCTCTGTGCTGTGACCTCAGGATTCTTTGGCCGTGACCACGCTGGCCATCAGCCTGAAGGTTCCTGAGGGTGACCCTCATCTACTGAGAGGTCTGAGGCAGCCAAAATGCCCTCAGATTCCCAGGATGTCCGGAGCCCAGGAGGAGTCCTGGTTTTGGACAATGGCTTCCCTGCCCTGGACCTGACTCACTGACAGCTGAGTCCGAATGCAAACTGCCTTCCGAGAGATGCATACCTGTTCAGTGAAAGCTGCTGCCAACCGCCGAGTTCCCTGGGAGCACCTGAGCAGTCTGAGCAGCTCTGGGTACATCCAACCCTTCAGAGCTCCCTCTGGAGCTTCCCCGGTGGTCCAGTAGTTAAGAATCCGCATTGCAATACAAGGACACTGGTCTGATCCCTGGTCCAGGAAGATCCCACATGCTGCAGAACAACTAAGACTGTGTCCCACAACTACTGAGCCAGCACTCTAGAGCCCAAGAGCCACAACTGCTGAGCCCGCGTGCTACAGATACTGAAGCCCACAAGCCTACAGCCGGTGCTTTGCAACAAGGGAAGCCACTCTGAAGGCGTGGCTTCAGTTTCAGGTTCTGCCACCAAGTCAGTCAGAAAAACGGCATCATCTCTTTGTGCTTCACTTTCTCCATGTGGGAAATCGGGCCACAGGATATATGAAAGCAAAAAACACGACGGTGTTGGGTGAAAGGGCAAATACTGTATCGTTTCAAGGCGACTGTAGTTCTCATCCTTTCGCAAAGAGAAATGAGTAGCCCCTGCTTGCCATAATTAGAGCACCGCAAGGAAGGGTAGCCCCTGCTTGTTGTAATTAGAGAAAGGCCACAGGTAGCAATGAAGACCCAACACAGCCAAAAATTAAAACAAATAAATCCTAAAAAAAAACAAACCAAAAAACCACCACACTCTGGCCACTCAGAACACAGCATACGCAGCAGGCACCACCCCGCTGCGGTGTTCGCTGGTTATCTGGCAGAATCCTGAGGCTGCAGGGGACTTTCCATCTAGGGACATGATAAAAGCTGGAGGCACTGACTTATATCCTGACTGGCTCTGGGCTGGGGAGATGGACTCCAGGTTCAGCTCCTGGCCCAGGGCACCTACCTGTGCACCTTCAGGCCCCCCACCTCCCTGCCTTTACAGCAGAGGAAGCAGCCCCCCAAGACCCACAACAACCGCAGCAAGGGGGTGGTACGGGCAGACAGTCTTCTCTAAGGCCAGTGCCACCGGTGCAGCCGCGTGACCGGGGGGATGAGAGTCACTGCTACCTCGCAAGGCCGCCGAGACGGCCTGAGACAAGCCGCGAAGAGCACTCAGCTTGATGCTGGGCCACAGCAAACCTGATTAGTGTTACTCACTTCTCTTTGCGAAAGGATGAGAAGGACCACTGCCTTGAATGATACACCCAACACCACCAGCTTTTTTTTTTTTTTATATCCTGTGGCCCGATTTCCCACATGGAGAAAGTGAAGCGCAAAGAGATGGTGTCGTTTTTCTGACTTGGTGGCAGAACCTGAAACTGACCAGGAGGGTGACAGGGCCAGGCGGGAGGGGCATAGTCACCGGGCCTGGCTGCCCGAGGGGTTCTTCTCTCCCCCAGGTAACGCAGCGGCAGGAGAAGAGCCCCGCTGCGGGCAGAGGGGAGAGGCGCTGCAGAGGCACCCACATTTGGCCAGGACCCGGTCGCATGTGGATGGGGACAAAGACCGGCGGCTGAGATGGCATCTTACAGCCCTTCTCTGGGGTCAGCCGTCTTGCCTCCCTCGCTCTCTGTGCCCTCCCTGGCCTCTGCTCCTGGGCCTGCTCAGGGAGCCCAGGTCCACCGCAAGGAATTTCTGAGCACACCCTGCCGGCTTGTTTCCCGGTGCCGCTTCCTCTGCACCAGTCTTCTCCCTGGAAGCACCATGCCACTAGACAAGTACAAATCTAATTGTAAAAGCTTGCTCCCCATTCATTTCCTCTGCTGCTTTGATTTATTTTATTAGCAAACTTCTTTTGTGTGATGACAGGCTTCATTACAGTGTCTATAAAAGACAATTACTCGCTCTTATCTCCTAAACTGAGGAGGAAAGAAACGAGTGGTGATGAGCATCAGGAAGACACAATGGGCCCTGGAGACCAGGCGTCAGAGCGGCCGTCCCGCAGAGGGGATGCGCCAGCGAGCGGGGTGGGGAGAAACCTCTCTCTCAAGGGAATGGCTGCCTGGAAACCAATCGGGAATGGACAGGCATCCTACCTGCCCATGGAAGGGAGAAGCCATCAGCCAGCTATGGCTTTTGCTGTTGGCAGCTCGGCTGAGGACCCCAGTGAAGTTCAAACCCTATT